TCTAAATTTCAAACTTAAGATTTTGTACATTTTAAAGCATTTCTTTATCAACTTTATTATTATAGAACTGTGTGTGTTTAGTTAAAAACTACATAAAGTAGTTTTCTGTCAGATAGATCAGACAATGGTAGTGTACATATAATGAAGGCTATAAAGAGTTCAAGATAGTTTTGATCATATTGACTGACATTCAAACACTCATTTAGATTTTTGCTCTTAATATGCTTTATAATACAGTATAGGCTAATATACTTAGTACATTGAACATTCTTTTCGTTAAGTATGAATGAAATTGCTAGAGATGCTATCAACCCAAAAGGCTTGAAATCTAAAACATGATATTTTACATGAACAGCTTGGATCAAGTGTTTCACTTGTGTGAAAGAGGAAGCTATTATAGTACAAAGAAGTAGCTTGTAATGAATAAAAAGGCTTTTTTTCTGATGTAAATATTTCTTACTAAGTATTATGGTAATTACAAGCAATGTCTACACTTTTAAATCTTCCTTGGTTCTGTGCTATGATATATTTTAGGAGGGTTCTCTTAAGGCTATTAAAAATGCCTTGGTTAAAGGAACATGCAGTTCAGCAGGGATAACTTTCTCAACAGACACAATGGATTGATAGTTAGATTTTGTGTGTCTTTTCATTTCTTTCCAAATTCTCTGACCCAGGGTAACCTTTGGTCCTTCTTGGAAGGCTAAAATGAAGGGAGTTTGAGCAGGTGACTGATGATCCCTGTCTCAACAGCTCACAGACAATATACAAATTACATTACCAGCCCCCTTTATCTACTCCCTTCACTCCTCCCTCCTTAAATCAACAATGCAAATAGCTCCATCCCCATTTGCTAGAAATTCAGGCTTGCTCAGGCAACATGGGCTTTGTTGTTGAGTCCTTTTCTCTAGAAATTCAATTTTAATCCTGGTTAGGAAGAGTAAGACTATGAAGTGGAACCTAAGTCACTTTAACGGTAAATCCAGGCGCAGCTTGTCTTTCTGGGGTCTTTATAAAGGTAGGAATTGTCTTTATATTGTAGCTAAAATCTGGGTAAAGAAATCTATTGTCTGCTTTGTTAGTTTTTGTGCACTACATATATTAAAGACTTTAGTTAGACGGTCCTATTTTAAATATTATTTATTGAAACTTTTAACACTATTATTTGAATAGTCACTTATAAAAGTTCTTTTTAAAAGGCTTTGGGAGAAATTCAGTCTTTGCTTATTTCTACCATAAAAATGCTTGTATTTTTTTAAAAGCAAGGAGCAATCTGATTATAAGTAATATTTAGTTATTTAGAATACTAGTTTATAATAAAAGAATTCTAATTTTTCTCTTAAGTTTTAGGAATATGACCGTAAATAATTTTCCACTGACGTTGAATGAGATATACTAAAAAAAAATATGCTATGGAAATATAAATAGCATTCTGCTGATTATTTTTAAATATTTAAATTTTTATGAAAATTGTTTCAATACCTGCTGTGATTATTTTGAACAGTACAGCGGAAGTCAGTGTTAAAAATTGTTAGGGAGGAAAAAAGATACTATGTTTTAAAACTCAAGTGATTTTTAAAAGCTTATATTGTTAGGTGAATTTCAAATTGACCTAAAACTGTTTCTTTTGTGTGTGTGCAATTTCTTCTGAAAATATTAAAGATTATAGATATTGTGCTTTTTAAAAAAATACTGTCAGGTATATATTAGTAGCAGTTGTGAAATAAAATAGTCACCATGGAAAGTATTCCCCCAGAGAAATGAAAGGAATAAGTTACAGTGTTTCTGTGGTCCACAGGCAGAAAGCACATACACTTTTAAAATATATCTCTAAAGCCCTTCTAAATTCTGGTTGTGATTTCTTGCTTATTGATTTTTTTTGCTTCTTTCCTAGGTTGAATATTTATGAGACACAACCATATAACAGGACTGAAAAAGCATGTAAATGTTGTTATATCTAGTTTTATTTTAGTATAGAATGTATGCCAAGGGGAAAGGAAGCGTTTGTTTTTGTTTTTCAAAGACAAGATCTCACTCTGTGATATAGGCTAGGCCTGAGCTCACAGCAGCTTTTCTGTCTCCCTTTCCCAAGTGCTGGGATTATAGGCCTCAATAACCATTCTAGTTTTTCCCTTCAGTAACCTTTAAAAATAACTTAAATCCATAAGCCCAGTTTTGAAATAGGATTAAATCAAAGCTGTAGATAGAGCCTTTAAATATAGTTGAATTTTGGCTTAGTTATCTAGGCATAATGGTTTAAAGCTCTTAAAAATGGCATGTTATTGCTTCTCAAATGATAATGCTATATTTGACACTTTCCAAAGTAAAAGTCGTTTCGATGAATCCTTAGTTTTCTGAATGTGTCATTTTCTTTTATATAAGAGTCACTTTTTATTGTGTGTTTAGGTAGTTTTGGTACTGGAAAATGTTTGTTGATTGCTAGAGAGAAATCTATTTGAGTTATCAAAGAGACTCAGGAAGGATGATGGAGGAGGTAAGGTCTAGACTTGTTATTATTAGGGTCTTAGAGTGTGGGTGATAAATAAATGAGCAATTAGCGTAAATCTTCAGATCAGAATTGAGAAACTGATGCAAGACCTGCCAAGCTTTAAAGTAAAAACCTGGGACAGTTACTACTAAATTTTAAAAACATTATTTTCCTTTGTAGCTATTTCTTTTTTTCTTGTAGCAGATTGTAAATATTAATAAATATTTGATAGATGGCTGAAACATAACAGAGAATACCGACTCTTGTAAATAGAGGTAACATTATGTGTTTGTAGAATTCAACTACCTGGACAACAGAGAGGTCTTCTCCTTTATGGAATGCCAAGTCAGACTGTTTGAATGACTTCTACCTAACACAGTCAGTCTACAACTGAATTCTAGAATTGCTCCAGACTGAGCAGTAGATTACTGTGTATCAGTTTTGAAGACTCTAAAGATAACTGCTGACATGCACTGAAACTATAGACAGTCTCCCTCAGTGTCCTGAGGGAATTGGTTCCTTGGACTCTAAACAGCAAAATATGAGTATGTCCAAATTCTATATAAAATGGTGGAATGTTTTTATAGAACCTATTTATACCATCCTTTATATTTAAATCATCACTAGATTGCAAACCTTGTCCAAAATAAGTGCTACATAAATAGTTATCTTTTAATAAATAATGACAAAAGTTTGTATATGTTAAGTAGTGGTACAGATTTTTTTTCTCAGTGTTATCTGTCCATTGGTGATCAAATCTACAGACTTACTATAGGGCCAGCTATATGACTACTTAAAGGCAATGTTATGCTTTATCAAATATTTTTTTAGAATATCTAATTCTGTTATTTATAGAAGTGGCTAGATTATCTTTTTTGAGACATTTTTCAATCTAAATTACAAATTGGTGTTTATTACAGAACATTCAGAAAATAAGATAACAGTGGTCAGAGGATAATCTAAAATTGTATATATTCCTTCCTTTTAGAAATAATGAATGCTAATATTTTAGCATATAAGCTTTAGAATATTTTAATTAAAACTTGGAATATTAATTTCCAGTACTCATAAGACCAGTTGGAGAATCTTACAGAGCATGTATTGTATTGTCATGTGTATAGTTATAGTGACTTGATTCTATTTGCTTAGATATTCTATTATTATTATCATTAGTAGATAAACTTTCTCTAAGAAATATTAAAGAAGCAAGAAATTTGTCAGCAAGTATTATCCAAATATTTGGTGCAGGTTTTTAACTTTATGTATAGTTATAGTCAATATATAAAATGGAAAACAATTTTGCTTTTACTCAAAGTAATTATTTTGATGTCAAACAAAATAAACCTTTATATCAATATGAAGAAAACCTAAACATTGTCTTACTGAGAACACATTGGTGCTTATTTCCAACACTACTTTAAATTGTATTCCTTTGATGTTTGCATGTAAACTTCCTCAAATTTGAACATAAAAAGTTTTTGCCCTCATTACTTAATTCTGTAATTTTTAAATCCTTTGGATTTTTAGTGTTTTATATTATAATATTATCATTTTTATCTCAAATTTTACTAATTTGTGGCTTCATTGTTTTGGTTAGCTTAAAGGTTTATCAGTTTTATTTGTTTTTCAAAAAAGCAAATATTTATTGTTTTGGGGTTTCCATTTCATTAACTTTAGGGCTAGTCATTTTCCCTTCTAGGAATTTTTAGTTTGACTGTTTTTACTTTTCTTTCTTTCTTTCTTTCTTTCTTTCTTTCTTTCTTCCTTTCTTCCTTTCTTCCTTTCTTCCTTTCTTCCTTTCTTCCTTTC